AGGAGGATGTCTTGTGAACTACGTCAACCGGAACGGCATGGTTACACTAAACGAAGACAGAACAACGCTACCCAGTCGTCGTGGTACGATGAGATTGACCTATAAAGCTCTCCACCTCATGCACCTTTGCACTACATAAAGTCACCACAACATGTCAACGCCAAACCGCATTAGAAACCACTTGGCAGTTTTGCTTAAAACGTAATTAAAGAGGCGTATTTGCATAACAGTCAGCAATGGTAGAATCCCATCAGTAACAACTCGTTCGGTACACCGGAACAAGTTTACAACCAAACTGTGTACAGGTTTGCATAGCATAATCTTAGAAACGGAAGCAGAGAGAGTCTGAAATGTTTGAAAGTCCATGACTCAGTGGGGCAGGTAAGTCTGAGTAATAGTTGGCAAGTTTGGATACAGAGATACGATTCGGAAAGGGATCATGTTGGTCATAAAGAAACCTTCAAATTATCATGTGCCGTCGGTAGGTTGAATGATAATGAATCGAAAAAGGTAGTGAAAATAAACAGACAAGCGTTAAAAATAGGATTTGTATACCAAAATAAGCTGAAAGCAGACAACACCAATATGCAAACGGAAAAAAGAGCACCATTCGAGAGGGCGATTGCACTTGCGTTTGCGAGAGATTACCTTTGTATGTGCGTATATATATGTATGTGTTTATGCAAAAAAATCATAAAAAAATAAAAGCAAGAGGAACTTTAGCAAGTGAAATGATACTCAGGATGAAATAAAAACGAGTGAGATATCACAAATGAGCTACATCATCCACAAATACGAAGATACTCGAAAGAGAGACAGATGGGAAAGTGGGAGATGAAGCAGAAATAAAATGCCCCGAATAATTGGGATGCAGAAACGACGGTAGCTGGTGGAGTAGACGAGAGGAGTTGAGGAAAGAACAACATCGAAAGCGTTTTCCGCTAGTCAGACATTGCAACCTACCTTTACGAATTCATCAATCGCGCACAATGCGCTTCTCCGTCAAGTTAAGTAGGATGCACTCAGTGAGGGGAGAGGAGGGGTTTTCGAGTGGCCCTGATGTGGTTGCTATACTGGGGGCAGTATAAAGACTGGGTAAAGGGGGATGAGGAGGAAGCAGGACGGAATCATGTTGTACAAGAGGAAGATTCAGGAGGAATGGAGACACATTCACAGCCGCAGTGCTGTGTGGCCTGAGTTGGGCAAAACTCGAAACCAACAAAGTATGCGAAAAAGTGGAGGTTGTTTAATGCTGTATCTTCTGACTAGTGCAGTGAGAGAGAAAGACAGAGAGACCGAGATACAGAGAGACAGAGAAGGAGAGGGGTAGAGCCATTTGGAATATCACAGAATGCAGTGTATCGTAAGCGGAAGAGTTATGCGAGTGGACAATTATGCATTATAGTAGAAGTGAGCATATGCATAGACTAACTTATGCAGGGATGCGCACATGAAAGAGTTACGTTGAGAAAGAAACGGTGCCTGCAAGCGCGAGGATTGAACAAGAGAGCCAAAAGGCGAACCACTAAGGAGTTAATAATAATAGTTGTAGCAGTAATAATAATAATAATAATAATAATAATAATAATAATAATAATAGTAATTGTAGTAGTAGTAGTAATACGGGTAATGATAATAATCATATGAAGGGATCATCTACTTGTAACAGAAGAAAGAGTGGAGAATCGGGCGGATTAAGTCTAAGACAACTACGAAAAGTGGGCAAATGCTAGCTTGCCTAACAAAATAAGGAATCC